TCTGAACTTGATGAGATCTAGTGATTCCTTCCAGCTGGCTGTATGCTGGTTTTGTATTACTGGATAAACATGGCTGCTTTTGTCTGTCCCCAGAACATCTGGCAATAAAACTGGTCTCAAAACATCCAAAAATGGCCTTGAGAAGTCTGAATAAATACTACAAAAATTGGAGTTTGTAGAGAACCATAATGTGCAGAAGTGACTTTGCCCAAAGTCTCATAGCAGCAGGTCAGTAATAGTGCTGGGGGAGGATCATAAATCTCCTGACTGGCAGTCGAGTGCCTTAGTAGCTAAAAGGTGTTGTCTTTAAACATGAAACCATCTCCCTTCCATACTCAACTACTTTCAGATCACTCAGCAACAAAGACTACTTTTGCCCTCTGAAAGATCGTTTTCTCTTTTTTTGTTTTAGCTGTCATATTCATAGTGGTTTTAGTACTAAAACAGTTTATTGTATTGACTTTTTCAGGAAACACTGAGAACATCAGATCTGGAAAAGAATTTGCTGAAATAAAGACAAGAGTTGCAAAGGAAATTTTTAGAAAGTGATGTTATTCCCAGTTTGCTGCATAACAATTAATCTCTTATTTTTAAGTGAGGAAAACAGCAGAGGAAGCTGTATACTGAATCCCAAGTTTGAATCTCTCTTTGTTTAAAAAAAATAAAAATCACTTGAAGAAAGCATTTTAAAATCTGGAAGCTGAGAAGAACACAGATCAGCATTTTAAAGAGTACCATGGAAGGAGTTAAGCTGTGAGTTAACTGCATCTGTGTTTCAAATCCAAATGCTATGAACAAGGCACCATTCAGATCTTCAGTTATAAGTTATGCTGAATTCATTTTGCTATGTTGGTTTGAATTCTGTTGAGAGAAGAAAATCATGGCAGATTTAAAAAAAAAAAATCATTATTCTTGTTTTGGTAACTTGTTTTTGAAGTCATGGAGCAGAATTCTCCTTTCCCATCTTTTTTTGTCTAGCACTTATGCAGGTCATCTGCTAATTATTAGCAGCTGTGAAACTATGGAGTTACATAAGCATAACTAAAAGTCAGTGGAGCCTTGCATCATTCAGCAGATCTGTCCATCACTTATTCACCACAATAACAGATTGGTTTTGTAACTCACTTGACAGGGGCATGAGCAGGCATGGAAAGTTGGGAAATCAGAGCTTTGAGTCACAGAAATCAGATAGGATAATGTGTTATATTATTGTCACCACAACCTGTTGTCCAGTTATACATGTGCATTGCTGTTCTGTGAAGAGAACTGTGTATCGGAGTAATTCCCTGTAACAGCTGAGCCTGCCAGCTGCATAAAGCTGAATTGTCCTGGCAGCTTTGCGTGGAAGATAGCTATGGCTGCTATGCCTGGCTGCAGTGGCAGCAAGACAAGTGTGAGCGCTGGTGAATGTATCCCAAATTGGTCATGCTCAGTGCTATGGCTGAATACAACAAACTGCCTTAAACATTAGGAAAGATGTCTTTACAGTGGGATATGTGTAGAGCTGAGAACTTGGGATTTCTTGGCAAGAGAAATACCCGTAGTGCACGTGAGAGCATGCTGGCACCAACAGCCCAAGGCTGGCAGGTCCGGACTGCCCCCAGGTTCGTAACACTGGCTCAGCATGCTGCAGGATTTGGTGAGCAACATCAGTTTCTTCCCACTGAACCTTGAGGGCATATAAAACAATCTCCTGTAGTTCTGAGTATTAAATCATAAACTATGTAATGAATTTTCTGATCCAGACTGGTTTTTGCTTTCAGATTTTTTTGACTTTTGCTTGTTTAAAAAATCTTCGTAGGCAAGAGAGTCTGTGAAAAGGTGAGTGCAGTGTTACTGAATGTGCAAAATATGATCCTTAAAATACTTGTTCTTGGAAATTAAGAATGTAAAATGAGTTCAGGCAGCTACAGTGTCCCTCCCAGACCAGTCTGTGCACCCAGTGGCTCAGACCTGTGCCTGCCCTGGCCCCTTTTTCAAGAAGTGAAAGAGGAGTTTGCCTGAGCTTCCACTTTTTTTTTTTTCCCAACTCTTTTTTTTTTTCTTTTTTAAAGTAGCGATGTGAACAGTTAACTTTGAGAGCTGCTGCCCTAGATTAGTGTTGTCTCTGCTATTTCTGCTGGGAACAACAGACAGTGCCTCCTTAGCTCACCTCACGAGCAGGCTCTGAAAATGGTGGGACCTTACAGCAGCCCTCAAGTTACCCCCCTGGTCCCCAAGGAAAGATGTAGGTGCTCAGAGGCAGCTTGCAAGCTCCAGCTGCTGAGGTAACACTCCAGAGCTGAAAGAGGGTGGCATGAACCGGGAACCTTCATTTTATGAGTAGCCTAAACAGGATGGCAGCTGGGTTTGTAACTAGCATCAACTAGATAGCTTTTTAATGGAAAAATGATGAAAAATAGTCTGTGTGGAGGAAGGCAAGGGTTGTTTATTCTCCAGCTCACCTCCTACTTGAGGAAATGTTCCTCAGCTAATAATTCAAAGATACTACTTTGAGACTCTCTTGGATCAATTTGGATTGCAGTTTGTCAAACATGGGCAGCATCAGCCATTCAGTACTATGCTCTACATTCCTCTCCAATTGACCCCAACTTATCTGGCCTCCTGTGGCCATCATGTCAGTCACTGCTCTCCTCATGTCCTGATTTACCTAACATTGACTGACCCACTTTGCCTAATGTTATTCCAAAGGTTTTTTTCTGGCATGGAAATGCTAAGTAGAGAATTTTCACTCTTACTTTCACATTTGAAGCTACTGAAAACAGTTTCTAAAGGAAGTATTAAATGTAAAATGTAAAGAGTGCTGCATGTGGTGTATGTTGTAAGTAAACAAACCACGTGCGTATGCACGTAAGTGAGTTTGCATGACTCAATGTATTGATCTCTTTATATGTATCTCTATTTGATCAGATCCTCCTTCTTGTTTTTCATACTGCCATCCATATTGTCTTTGATTAAGACCTCTGGGATAGTGAATGCATTTGACCAATACCCAGAATAAAGTTTTCCTATTACAATGGGATGAAATGAAATATCAGATGGTAGCAATGTGGTGGTAGGGAAGGTATGCAAGTATGACTATTTCAGTTTTAGAAAGAATTCTATTCATCTGAGGCCACAGAGGCAACACCTGCCAGTATATCATCATTTATGTCTGCAGGTTGTATTTTCAAACCACCCCAGACTAATACTACTTTGAAACCGAAAGATACTCCTTAAACGTACAACTTTTCCCATCAGTAGTTCTGGTGGCATCTTGGAACCTGAAACCCTCAAATGGTAGCAGACAGCTGTAAAACTTTGTTTTAAAACTAGGCAGCAAAAAATCACAAGAAAATAATTCTGCCCTGGGCCTTCCTACTGCATTTTCAAATACAGCTGAGGGAGGGTCAGAAAACTTGTTTCATGGCACAACTTACTTTAAATAGGTTATTAATTGAATTGATTAATGTCCCTTGGGTGTAAATGAACAACACATGTTCCTGTCTTGTTTAGTTTTAATGTCAAATAAGATGATGCTTTTCAACGTGAAACATCTTACTCTTCAGAGTTGCTGCATAATTACACTTTGCTTGTCCCCTTAAGATGAACCAGAGCAATATTTATTTCTTCATTTATTGGTTATCCTCTTCCTAGTGGTGCTCTGCAGGATCGGTGTCTCCAAGTTTTATTATAGCTTTTTCTTTTTTTCATTTGTGTGTCCTTAAAAAAAAAAAAATGTACATGCTGACTGAAGTCAAGAGGAAGACAAATTAACTTGAGCTGCTATAGGGAACTAGAAAATTAAGTGTTCCATAACTGACAAACAGCTTGAGATGACTGGACAAGTTCCCTCTTTATTCATCTAAAATGTGCCAGTTGTGTAGCAGAACATCCCTGGTAATGCGAGTGAATTGCAGGGTAAAACCCAGTTGGATGTCATCATGTGCAGTACTTAAATGAGAACACTGAGGGATTTTGTGCTTCCAAGGGAAAGAACTGTCATTGTTGTCTTCTGGTTTGTGTTACTTTTAAAAGTTCCCCAAGAAAATTTCCTCTTAGGAGGAATAATGGAGTTTATAGTTGTTTACAGTGAGTGGTATATGACTGCTCTTTTGCTTAGACTGAAAGCTTTTATTCTTCTCACAAATATGTTTGTTCACTGCTCACTAATCAGTGAGACTGAGGCATTAAAGAAACCATGGTAATGATACCACATGGTATATAATACCACAGCATTTACAACTTCCAAGGCCTCTGCTCCAGGCCATCTGCTGTGAAGTATAGACAGAAGCAAATGAAAATAGAATGGAAAAACCCTGCAAGAAGGGAAAGTTAACAAAAAAAATACACTCTCTCTCTCTCTCTCTCTCTCTCTCTATATATATATTTTTATTTTTTTTTTTTTTTCACCTTCTTCCATTTATATAGAAGTAAGGAATTCTTCCACTGCCATTTCTTAGCTAGGCATGACTTTCTGCCCTAGGAGGTAAGAGCAGACACGCACACACACAGAAGAAATCGCCCTGGGCTAGCAAAAGGGCTGGTGGGTTCAGTCCTGGGTCCAGTCCTGCCCTTGGTGTAAGGTTGCTGTGAAGGATCAGCACTGAGAAGAGACCAGTGGAGCAGGATTGCTCCAGGCAATGTCAGGGCAGTGTTTCCCAGGTCTTCCCTGTGGGCTGTGTACCGTTAGGCTTCTGGAGGTGCTCCCTCTGTTCTCTGGTGGACACAGTTGGTCATTCTTCGAAATTGCCATCCTAAAGGCAGGTTCATGCTTCTGCTCTAAAGCGCTGATGCCCCTGACATCTTTCTTCTAAGGGTCTGGATAGTCACTGTGGTGTGACTGTACCGGGGAGGAAAAAACCCAGACTATCTGCCAGCATATTTGATGCAATAAACTTTATTTCTGTCCAGTGAAATTGTCATAAATTGTAGTCTCACTTCTTTGTATTTAACTCTGGCATATTCAGGTCCTGGTTTCTTCATTTCTCAATGGAGCATGTGACCTCTGGTATTGCTGTCAATTTATGTAATGTGCATCAGTGCAGGATCATGGACCCTGTCACTAAGGAATCCTGTCTGGTATAGGGGTGAGTATAAAATAAGGGATTTTTTTCTTAAAGATATAATTATGTAAATAGACTCAGTCAATCAAAGATCTTCAAAACCAGAATTCCAAAGAGCGATGTGAGGTGCTGGCTTTGGCATTAGAAGTCGAGGGAACAGTGCTTGTCCCATTTAGCAGCAAAAAGCCCAAAGTTAAATATGTCACAAAGTTTACTTAAATCCAAACTATTAAGATCATGAAACCTCAAGTAGGTATAAACAGCCTGTATCACAGCTGGTGTAGCTGAGCCCCTGCTGGCAGCACATAGCGACAGGGAAGCGGGTGAAGAAACACCTTTAGTTTCCCGCAGTGTGTGGGCATGCTTCGAGGCACTGCCGATGAGGGCCGGGGAGTATCAGCTCGCAATTCATCCTCTGTGAGGGACCGTGCTGGGATGTGCTGGCTCTGCTGGGACATGGCCCACAGACCAACTGGAAGCATTGGCTCTACCGAAATGCCTGTGACTAATCATCTTGCCTCCCCCAAGGCCCATGCTGTAGTCTCCCCTCTTACTCAGGGGCAGCTGTAATTTTTCAGGCTGAGCAGGAGGGTTTTGGGAGGCCCCCACTGCTTTCCTCTGCGCTGTTCTCTTAGGTCACTGCCACAGGGGAGCCAGCCATCTTTGCTGAATAGTCTCAGGATTGGACTGTAAGGCATTTCTGCTCTGTTAGCAGCAACTTTTCAGCCAGCCATGCTTCAAAATACATAGAGCTGGGGTTTTCTGTTGCACATAGGTAACACCCTCAGAGCCATAAGCCATATACTTAGCTATTAATTTAATTGTTCTGTTCTCTACTGAGTATCTGGCCTTTTGCTATTGTATAGAAGAAACAAAATGCATGCAAAGTGGGATACAGACAGGTGATTACAAGTTCAATTATATTCTTGTGTGCAACTTCTGCTAATGAGGGAACCTGGTGCCAAGCTTTTTCAATCCAGAATATTATACTACTGCCTCCGCTCTCAATCTCAGCCTGCACATTTGGGGGTTTATCCTGATTGCTAGTTCCCTGGCATGTTATGGGAACTTGCATAGCCAACGCACTGGAAGTCCAGCACCTCTTATTTGTCTAGCTGTGGGAACAACAGGGTGTCCCCATGCCCTTTTGAGGTAGAGGTGTTGCCTTGTGTCCTGTGAGTGCAGTCTCCTGATAACTGACCCTAGTTTCATCAACTGCTGAAACTAGTTTTTATGGTTGGCAATATAGGGCATTTTATTTCTAGATCGGCAGTGTATCTTTAAGCCAGGTGAGCTGTGATTAAGCATTGCTTTCTGTCTGCTTTAGTGTAGTGCAATGAGTTGGTAATCCCAGGTCTACAAGACAAAAGTTCCTGCTCAAAATGGCATTGAATGACTTCCATGCTGAAAGCTGTCACAAAATAGATTGTGAACAAGGACTGAAACTGTTCCATGATGTCTTATGAGTGATTCTTTCAGACCAGGGGCAACACTGGGCATAGTGGTATGAGAAGTCTCGCTTGAATGTGTCCCATGTAGCTACCTCTTACATGCGAGTGAGATGCAGGATCTCTCAATAGGGCTGAATTTTTCATTGTCTAAGGAAACAGGGACCTTCAGTCTCCAAGGCTGTTATCTGGATGCTTTTCATGAACCCTGAAATTCCCTGTTACTTTTAACTACTGCTCTCTTAATTCATAGTAGTAAACTCTCCTAATTCATAGTAATGGCATAGATAATTAAATGAGAATGTGGCATGCAGTGGATATACATATTCATATAGTGAACCTCCCCTTCTCTTTATTTTTGGGAGAATATTGTTTTCAATAAATATTAATGAAAGAAAAACATATGGTATCATCTTGCACGTGATCTGATCTTGTTCACCTTACTTGGGCATAGTTCAAATCAATATGGGATGGCTGGCACTTGTACCTAAGGAAGGAATAAAAGATCTCATCCATTATAGAGCATAGAAGCTGCTTCTATTTTATAATTGCCTAGCAAGTATGCACAGACTTGGATTTGTGGCTATATTTGGCATCCAGATATTTCTGATGTGGGATATACCACCCATGGGAAGAATGCAAGAAATGGAGTAAAGTTCCCACTGATTGGGACTTATTTTCCCTTAAAAAAAAAAAAAGAAGTAAAAGGGCATTAGCTTTGGATAGGATAAAATGGTGCACAGCTCTTGTCTCCAGTGAAATCATGCCAGTATATACTCCCGTATTGCCCTGCTTGTAGCTAGCTTGCTTTCTGTTTTCTACCTAACCACAGGTTTTCAGTCCTTCCAGTATGAAGATTCAGAATGTAAAAGGCAGATATAAGCAGAACTAACAGCTTGAAACTATATGGCCTGTGTCAGATGAAAAATTGCTCTTGTCAATGAATGTTGGTTTTGTGGCTTTAAAATGTGTGGATGTTGTGGTAGGTCATGATTTCGAAGGTGTAGATTTGTTTAGCTTTGTGTGTACATACATGTATATGTGTGTGTACATATGTACACAAATACTAATGGGAAGTTTGAATATAAAGTATTATTCAGATTTACTTGTTATCTTTTAAAAAAAGTTCATGTTTTCTACTGAAATAACCAAGTATATAAACATTCTCATCAAAGTGTTCATACCTGAAACTTTGAACTTTAAAACTCATCCTGATAGCTAAAGACAAATTGCTCAATAACAAATCCTTTAATATTGCCATCATAGCAATGCTTATTTATTGAAAAAGGTACTTGAAGACTAGGCATGCCATTGGCAAGGTATAATAAACACTGTTCTAGAAAAACAGATAGGCAGATTTTACTGGGCAAAAAGTGTTGAAAATACCCTTTGGAAAGATAGCATACATTGTTTCTTATTTTGGTGGACCTGTTGAGTAATCCCACATTCTTTGATCAGGTCAAAGAGAAACTGTCTTTCAAGTTTATTGTATGAAAAAGCTACAAACTAAGAAATTAGGGTGAAATTAAGTATTGTAAGCAACGACCAGCACCATTCCTTTTAATAAAACTTCCTTTTTGGTTCCTGAGAACATATTAAGGTTATTAGACGTATCTGTAATGATATGAAGGTACTTCCACTGAGTTCTCCTTTTAGAAATGTACCTTATATATATCATAATACATGTGCAGTGCAAACTTTTCTTTGGGAGTCTATTAATGTCTATATTATTGGGGCAGGGAAGACAAGTAATTTTCTGAGAGCAGGATTTGTAAGTTCAGCAGTTTTCACTCAGGTCAAGAAATACGTAGGTGTTTCTAGGCATACTACATTTTTCTTAGTAATGGCTTTTATTTATGTGGCTGTCCTCTGAAAGGGTAACCTGTGGCAAAAACCTAGGGTGATAGCTGAAAAAGTAATGTCTCATATGCATGTAGTTGTGCAAAGGGTTTTGTTCCAGAGTGTGTTGGTTTGGGTTTGGGGTTTCTTTCCTGGTTTCAGACAGGACTGGAGCAGTTTGAAACACTTAATCTTACACATGCACTTGACTACAGAGGAGGAGTTTGCCAGAAAATTTTTGACCATCAGACGATGTTCACATCCTGGATGAAGGATAGGATAGATTCTCTGTTTTATCTGGTGTGATTCTCCCACCCACAAAGAATGTGTTAATATTTAATTGTTCTTGAAGACACATAGTGGGCAACATTAAATATTTACATCTCTCTTCAAAGTCACATGGATGCCACCAGGACACCTAGCTCTACATCACACATGCTCTAATTCACCCCAAACACCCACTGTTTACTAATCTTCAGCCCCCGTCTGTGCCGATAATGAGCAAGAGGAAATGGAAACAGCAGGGATTATATGCTACTGAGAAGTCCCAGTTTCCATGCCTGGTTGTAATTCTTTCAACAAACTCTTGCCGACTGTGCTCCTGCTTTGAAGTTTGAACACCTCTGTATTAGTGCTTGGCTCTGTTGATTTGGCAAACAGATTTGGGGGGTGGTGGTGTTTTTTGTACTTGCATATTAGCAGCTCCACGCGATGGCTTACTCTTGCACTTGCATGTGTTGTGCCTGCTCAAGGTCTGGAGCAGCACAGGTTGTTTTGCCGAATCACCGAGATGTTAATTACTCATATTTGCTGGTGACAGGTACCAGATAGAAAACACTCCCCACCATATCCACTACTCTGTGTGTGTGTATCATCTTAGCCATGTCAGTGAAGAGGGTGAGCTTCCATATAAGGAATAAATGTGGCCTGTTTTTATAAGGCAAGTGGTATGTGTGGGTTTTGAATGCTGGGACTCAGCATGCTTCATTAGCCTGGATCACCATGTCCAGTATACTCAGATTTGTGGATGCAGGGTAATGCATGCTTCTAATCTAAGCCAAAAAACCTCAGAGCCTGTGACTGCCTTTTTATCCCCACAGCAAAGGACAGCAAATTATTTGTGTAAATAGCTTTGTCTGTTAACATCCCTGTGTAGCTTATCTGTCAGGGCACTATGCAAATTGTTATTGCTGCCAGGGTGGTCCTTTAGCCATGAATGAAATGCTGTTTGATCTTGTGGCAAGTGGGGGGAAGTCAGTTTATGGTCTTAAAAAGAACTTGTGACATCTGCAGCGTTACTAGCACATTTCTCTTATGTACCTAGGTGTACATAAGGAAGAGCTTCAGGTATGCTTTTCCACTTGGAAGATAGAGACAGTTTTGTCTTGTTTATATACAAAGTGAGATACGGCATGAGTTACAAGCAGTTGGCTTATCACATAAGATTACTGCCAAAAATCCTGTTGAGGCTTTAGTCCTCTGGAAGGTGTCAGTCAACAGATTCCTCATCTGTGAGGGATGAAGAAATAAGCAGTTTGTTTACAGAGGACAGAATTTATCAGGCTTTAGATGTTTCCCTTCATGTCCTAATGGTCTGTGGTCAGAGCTGACAGATCCTCTGCTGTCCGTGGTGGCTCGGCAAACCCTGCTGCATGAGAGCACTGTGGACACGGTGAGTCCCCCTCAGTGTCACACAGCTGCCCTTGCTGTCCCTGCAGCGCCTTCTCCGTGGCCCCG